TGAGATTTGGGAATTTTCTCATTTTATTAATAACAATTAGCATAAAAATTTTATATTAAAATGTCGATCATTTCTCCAATTCATTCGCGAATCAGCAATTAAGTTTATTATTTTCAATGAACATATGATTTTCTAATTGCAAAAAAGACTTCTATAGCTAACTTCCGAATTACTTCACTTTTTACTGAATTATTTTGGCAGTCTATAAAATAGAAGGTGAGAAATCAGAATATGTTGTTGTTATTGCCACAAAATTGATTTTGGTGACGCAAAGTCGAGTTAAAGTCAGATGATGGTCAGTTTGTATATGAAACATATGTAGTGTAATTAATGCTGATCATTTCTTAAAATTGAATACCCGCTATGTTGTTCGTTATATAGAGCTTAGACTGTATTACTATTATTAAAATCCTACCAATAAATTCGTTGTCCGTTGTAACACGATTTAATATAAAATTTGTTGAAACGAAAATATTAAATTAATTAAAAAAAAAAAGGGATTCGTTGAAGCGAGGGTTTATATTTGGGTTTGGTCAAATATAGAAACGATTTTCGTGTAAAATATTGACTAGTTCTTGAGCTCTATACTTTAAATAGAGATTACGCGCCATATTTTATCCATAGTAATAACCTTATCAGAATTTGTATTATATTTTAAAGCTTATATTTCGATTTTTTGGTTTTTTTATTTTAACTTTATAAGGATTTTTAAATGTAGAGTGAAAGAAAATTCTAGGATTTCATTCAATGCTATTTTTATGTCTGTAGACATAAAGTTGGTAGACTACATCTAAAGTTGTTTATCATATGTAATCAAATTTTATTTATCTATAAATCTTGAAAAAATAACTATGATAATAACTGTATATATATTATAAAATATAGTTTCCAATTAAAAAAAAAAAATTTTCTCCCTCCTTATCTGATGGAAACGAACTTTCTTCGTCTTCATAATAAAAAGATGGTGAGATAAACTGTAGCTTTACACACATTATCAGATACGTAAATTGAAAAGAAAACTCACAATAATAAACTGTCCACTCCTTTTCTTATCGTAAACGTAAACAGTTTGTTCTTTGAAATTTTCTCGACTAAAAATTTACTTTCCATAGATAAAATTGGATAATGGTAATTATTGTTATCTAAGCATTTGGCGAATTCATTTCAGATATTTCGGTAATTTGAGATTTTATCAAAGTCTGCCATATGTATGTAAATCAGGGCTAGTTGCGTAAAGGGTTAAAGTCCTAATTTGGTAATAATTGTCTCGACTAAATTGACTTTGACATAATACTAATTTAGGTTACGCGGCCAACATTCAAATTATTTAATTATTTAAAATCTGGTTAATAATTATAATTAATTAAAATTCGGCTAATAATTAGTTAAATCCGGTTAATAATTAAATTAAAATCCAGTTTAAAATCTAGTTAAAATCTAGTTAATGCAAGTTCTATGGCATGCCATAAATGGACAAAAAGTATATTTAATAATTAGTTAAGATCCAATTAATATTAGTTAAAATATGGTTAATAATTAGTTAAGATCAATCAATCAATTAATTAAAATCCAGTTAATAATTGAATTAAAAATCCAGTTAGGGTTTCTGAATCAAAAATAAAAGTGATATTCGAATTTTCATAATTATTATCATTATTATTATCACTCGATATTCGAATAATTATTCGAATATCAGGAATGCTTATGACTATTCGAAATACTTATGGTTATTATTATCCATTCATTACCGAAAATCATCTGATGTACTTCGAATATTCATAATTCCTTTTGGTATTTGATTATTCGAAAAAGGGGGATTAATGATCGAAAAACTAAATCCAATTAATAATCAGTTATGATCAGGGCTGGCCGCATAACCTATATGAGCATTAACTAAACTGATAAAACTATTTGGTCATTATGTTAAGTCAAGTTTAGTCAATTTTAGTCAAGGCAATTATTATCAATTAGAACCTTAATCTCTTTACGTAACCAGTCCTGGTTATGATCAATCATAAAGTCCAGTTAATAATTAGCTAAGGTCGACGAAAATCCAGTTAATAATTAGTTAGATCTAATTGGTTCTTGGTTAAATAATTAGCCGAGACCTATGTAAAAATTCTATTTAATGATTAGCTAAGTTCCATTTAATAATCTTCAATTATTTAATGATTATTTATAACCATTTGATAGTTATTTATAACATTTAATAATTAGTTACGACGCGTCATAAGTACTAGTATTATTATTACTGTATTTGACGCCAAAATCATATTTATGCTGTAACGTCATCTTTTACTATACATATAAACAAAGTTTATTTATTTATTTAAAACATTTAACAAATAAATGGAAGAAAACAATAATAATATTGACATCATAGAAGTAGAGACACCTGAGGACTCTAAAACAATATTAATTGTTGATAATGGATGTGAAATTAATCAAATAAAATATAGCTCCAATTCTCAATACTTTGTTACTCATAATGCAAAAAATAAATCTATCATTGGATGGTCAGTTGGTACTGATGGAAAAACAATTGAACAAGACAAATATTTGAAATATTCTAAAAATGATTTTTTAGAAGATTCAGACAAATTTATTGGTATAACTGTAGATGTTGATGATGTTGATTTTGGTGAGAAACAAGATCCAAGTTCAGATGAATTTATTGATATAACCATAGGAGATGTATCTGATGATAAATGTATACTTTTATGTAACCATTCTGAAAATAAATCTTATTATAGTAAGTGATTATTAATTAATAATATATTTTTATTGATATGTAATAAATTGTAATATATAAAAATTTTTTTTATAGAACTTCTTGACTTTTCAAAAAAAAATGTAAATTATTTTGAAATTCAGATCAGCCACAAAATAAATATAACTTTTGACCAAGGATTTTTCTTTGGAAATAATAAACTAATAATGGGCAAAATGGAGGAGGATTATTATGATTTACATCTATTTACATATGATAGTAACAGTAAAAACAATCCAATAGTTCATAAAGCAACACATAAACTTTATAATATTCATAATCCTGATTTTTTTTCCACTCCTGATAATAATCTTCTAATTGCTAGCAATGGTATATTGCTCTCAGAATGGAAATTACAATGGAATATTGGAACTTTTTTGCGTAAAAAAAATCATTACTTACTACTTAGATATGATAACATTTATTTTAACAAAAATAACTTGTTAATGGTGACATATAATAAATCTGATTCAAAACTATTAGTTTATTCATTAAAAGATAATGTTATTATTTCATCATGTAAGTGTTTATAATTTAATTAACTTAAAATAATATGATTTTATAACTAAGACATTTTATAATTTGTATATAGCTAAACTAGAAGAAAATATTGACATTAAAAAATTGGATTTTTATACAAAAGATAAATTAGAATTTTTATTAGTAATCTATTCTAAACACAACACAAAAAATTATCAGTGTCAATTGATGGATCCTTATAATCTTGACAATTTTAATGATGTTACAAAATATTTTAATGAAAATATTATAGAAAATACAACAGAAGATATTCTATTTGGAAGAGTTCTACTAGATAATAAAATAACTATGATAATTAAAGATCAATTATTAACCAAGGAATTTATTAATGAAGAAAAATTAGAAAAATTAAAAAAATATAGAGAACAAATACAAAAATCACCTAAAATAAATATAAAAAAATCTTTGCTTAGAAATCTAACATTGCCTTTAAAAACTCTCTATAAAAGTTCAAGATTATTTGGAGCATCAGAACGTATACTTGTAAAAGGAAAAGACACACAATGGTTAATAGAATATGAGGAGAAATTTAAAAATATTAAAGTAAAGATACCAAAATTTTACAATAAATCAAGAAAAAATTTAATCACAATTGATGATGATGAAACATTTGAAGATTATGGATTGTTATATGATGATGACTTAATTTTATTAACAAAAAAACTTAAAAAGAGAACCAGATCCAAAGGCATTTATATTTTATCATTTAATACACAAAATAAAATATATACAAAATATGCAGGATATGTTACTTATATGGATAATAAGGAACTTATTGAAAAGATTAAACAAGTTTTTAATAACATTGGTGATTCATACATTGATAAAGAACAACTTAGGGGAAAAACATTTGAGGAAATGATACCATATATGTTAGAAGATTTTTATTATTTTAGCAAACATGGAGATAAAGTTTTAAAATTTGCATTTAGAAATAATGACATTATTATAGTGGAACAAATCTTTGATGCATGTCTCAATTGGTTTAAAAAAGAAGCTTCATCAAATCACAGTTTATTAAAAATAATTATTTCAAATTTATCAGAATTACAAAAGAAAAAATATCAACATTTATTATCAAAATTTTTCATTCAAACATCAATGTTATTAGATCCATCTTGTAATTCTATTACAATCTCTGAAATTCCTTCTACTGAGATTCTTCAACTAGAAATTGATAAAAAAAAAAAGAAGGAAGGTTTTTGGCAGCACATAATGATGTTATTTTATAGAGTTGTGCTTATTATTGTTATTTTTACTAATGTTTATCAATCTTTAAGTCTTTATATGAATATATCTCTATTTACTTTCATAATGTTTCTTCGTATTTTAATACCTGTATTGACTTTTATTCTTATTGTTAATAAGTCACATGATGATGATGATGCAACTCAACCTAGTGTAAGACTATTAGTTCCATTTCCAAAATACAAGTCAGATATTTTAGAATTATGCAAACATCAGAATGGTCAAGTCATCTTAGATTTCAAATGGAATACTTTTGGGTTTAAATATCATGTTGGATTTTTGACATCTTATATGGCATTTTTATTAAGTTTTGCTATTGCATCTACTTTTCAATTCAATGGAACCACTAGTGATAATGGTGGAGTTGAACCATTATTATATACTACAATTATTTTTGGTGCAATTCATCTTATTCTTGAAATAGTACGAGCTATACAATCTTTGCGTACAAAAGGAAAATTTTTTTCATATGTTGATTTTTGGTTTTTTTTAGGTAAGCTGTGATTTGGATATTTTATAATGATAAATATTATTATTAAAATAAATACTAATTTATTGATCCTGCTTATTAGATATTAGTGCCTATTCATTACCAGTTGTCACTTCAGCTTATTGGTTAATTAGCAATAATCCACCACCTATCTGGGCCATTTCACTTACTAATTTGTTACTGGATTTAAAATTCATGTTGTTTCTAAGATGTTTTAGCTATTTTGGAGCATACTTTGCAATAATTTTAGGTGTTGCAAGAAAAGTATTTTCATTTTTAGTGATTCTATTCATAATTATTGTAAGCTTTGCACATGCATTCTACATAATGTTAACACCAAAACAACAATTTTCACTTGATGTGCCTGCATTCAATGATGATTCAAATAATCCTTGGCAACTTACTGACATGTATAAATTTATTTATACTGATGGTGATTCATATACATATAATGATACTTCATATATTGTGCGACAACCTGATGGCAATACAAATCCATTTACAACTTTCCCTCTTTCAATGTTGGCAGTATATAATTTTCTTGCAGGTAACTTATTTTTTTAAGAAATATTCTCATTAAAATTATTATTATATTATTATATTAATATTAATATTAATATTTCAATAGGTGATAAGAATGCATTTGAACCTTGGGAATTACAAAATGATCCCTATCTGGCAATCTTAGTTGTATTATTTTCATTTTTAATTGTTGTATACCTAATGAATTTATTCATTGGTTTGCTTAGTAATGAAATACAAAATCATGACACAGAAGAAGCCTTTTATACTCAAAAAGCTAAAGTATGTTTATTTATTAATTGTATAATTTTACTTTTTTCTTATGAATTAATATTGAATTATCATTAATTTTAGGTCATAACAAGTGTTGAATTACTATTTAATAAACGTCAACAATTGCATCTATATTTCATGTAAAAATTATAAATACCAATTAATTTTTGTCAAATATTTTTTTATTCAATTAATTCTAACATAGCTAACTTATTAATTTATTTATTTTTATTAGAACTTACTATGTACCAGTTGAAGATATTCGAAAAAAAATAAGAGAGGTAGATAATAGTGAAGAAGATCCTGAGTATTTACCTTATATTTCTGATGAACTTAGAAAACTTGTGGGTATGCCTAAACCTGAAAATGATCTTAAGAATGATGATGTTTTTAAGAAGGAAATTAAAAGTGAACTTAAGGATGACCTTAAGGAAATTGAAAGTGAACTTAAGAATGACCTTAAGGAAATTGAAAGTGAACTTAAGAATGACCTTAAGGAAATTGAAAGTGAACTTAAAAATGACCTTAAGAAAATTGAAAATATATTCATGGGCCAAATTCAACTTTTATTAAATGAAATAAAATCATCAAAATCAAAAGATCCATCATAAACCAACTATTGAATAATATCTTTTTTTTTGATTTGTGATTATTTATGAAAAACTGGTTAATTTATTCAAAATTTTTTTTTAAATTTGTCAATTTAATTTAATTCATAAAATTTTATCCCCTAAATAAAACATTCCAGCCTCTAAAAAGGGGTGAATAAGAATACCAATAATGATTACTATTTGAAATATTTTCGACTGGTCTTTTTGAATAAGCCATGAAATTATACCAGCCAGTCAATGGGTTGATTCGTCATTGAATGTTGTCTCACATAATTCTGATTACAAGAGCAATTGATGCCAAGGCTTCACCAAAGTAGAAGCTCAACAAATTCCACAATAATATATTTATTTGTTCATATATTTACATGCATGAGAACCCCAACAATTAATAATAGAGGGAAGGAGACCATACAAAATTTTGGGTAATGTAAAGTATTTTTTTGTAAAAAAAAAAAAAATTGGAAAATGAATGCTGTCTGTGCCAGGGTATTAAGTCCAACTTTTTGTAAATGAAGAATGTATGTTATTCTATAATGATCCAAGTAATATATATAGTGTGTAATGAAAATAATGGCAGTTCATGATGCAAAATTTTTTGTATAACAAACAATAAAAGTGTTGTTTATCATGATTCGCATATCTTTCTTATATCTCATTGAAGACATTTATAAAATAAAAGGCTTCGTCTACTATTTTCTATCTTTAGCATCAATACAGCAATGGTAGTATATCTTGATGATTCATGAATTACCAAAGAAATGTTAAGATATACAAAGTTACGTTACATGAACAAGAAATAACCTATTAAAATTAATGTCAATATTAATGTAGCGCGTGAATTTGTAATTTAAATTTAACACAGAAAGAACAAAAAAACGCTAATTAGCCAATCATAATTTGTAATAATAAATTTCAAATTAATAGAAGTCTGGTGTGCGTTCATGTGATTCCAGTGAACCCTTTCTTATTGTTATTATCATATTAAAGAAAGATCACTCTTTAAAATCTCAAATTACCGTGAATAATTTTCTTCGAATTCACCAAATGCTTAGATAGCAATAACAATATTATCAATTATGGCTATTACCTAATTATTAATTAATTAACACAAGTAAGAAACGAAAACATTTTCCGTGTCACGACCACCTTCCAAAATCAGTAAGGCGAGTGACCTTCGTGCAGGTTTCTCGCCAATTGTCTCTTTTTGCGTTTAGCCGCGCTTGGTTTTTTCGGCTTTTGGCGCGATCAACGTTTTCACCATATTAATCTTTAGCAAAAATTGTGTCGTACGGCAAATGTTTCGTTTCTTAATAGATTCAATTGCAATTCTTTGCAAGGTGAGGAGAGGCATGATCAATGAATCAGCAAAATTCTATGTTTTTTAACCTAATTTTTCGGGAAGGAATTTTTTGTTTTCGCTGGTGGTAAATTTCAAAAAAAAATTTCTGAAATTGATCTACGTGAATTCTTTATTC